CATTTGCTTTCTACATACCAACATCGGATCACCACTTCGACAAATAATTCTTGTATTTTTGTAATTAATTACTTTATCTTTAATTGTATCTTGCATTTCAGCACGCTCTTTGTCGGCTAAAATAGCAATTGATGGATTACGTTGACTTTCATTAGCGATAATTAATTCTTTAATAATATTAAATATTAATGGTGACCATCCTAAAATAACTGGAAGAAAGAAAGGTGCAGGCTTAACCTTTTATTTTTATAAACAATTATGTATACTTGTATGATTGTGTTCAACAACTGTTGTTCGTCCTTTTCTTAATTCACCTAGTTTCTCGTCCATAAAAGTGACTATTGTACCAATTAATATTGCAACAATGACAAGTCCAAAAAGTATTACAATTCCAGATATAATTCGATGTTTTACACCTGTATCCTCTGCAGCGGCACATGGATCAAGTATACGCATAAATGCTATCCATAATGCGTCTCCATAGTCGTGTGTCGGACCAGAAAAATAATAAATAATACTAAATAGTAATACTATAAATGCGGCTATGACCGTTAAGAAAGGAATAATAAAAACTAGACCAAGAGAAAATAGATTATCGAATTTATATTTTAAATAGGAATGAATATATCTAAGTCTGCTGTTCTTGCCATGTACACAGCATGCACAACATTTGTTTCTCTTCGGCGACTTATTTTGCATTACTTAATATCTAAACAAAACATTTATGAAACAGATAGAAAAAAACACAGTAGCTGCTATTATGCCATCTTACATCAAACATCCGTTCTAATACAAGATCAGAATGTTTTACTCTTCTTCTCTTTGAACTCAAGTAACTACATCTCATTTTCGAAATGAGACGGCGACTGATGAAAATCAACTATTAAAAGTCTAAACGAATATCGGGTGGGTGAATGAATGGCCTCTCTTTCAGATTATGATTGTGAACCTGAAAAAGGTCACAACTAATATTTAAATTATCAAAGCGTTCGCCGTACCGCGCAAGCCCAGGCGAAAAATCTTAAATGCAGATATTGAGAAATCTTTAAAGATTTATCAAGTTTCGCCTCAGATCTATCAAGGACTTGTGCAGATTTGTCGAAATCTGTCAAGATTCTGAATGGAAAGCAATGCTGCAGATTTTCCGTAAGTTTTGTATCAGATTCTGTGATGATAAATCTTGAGCAGATCTTGTCAAGATATTTCAAGAATTCTGAAATGATTAATTTAATACACAATAATCAGAATCTTCATTAACAGATTTGGGAATTTGAAAGAAAATCTTAAACTTTAGTTTCTACTTTATATTTTCATTTTTTTTTCTGCTATATCACTACAGTGCAAGCTCTACGGTACTATGCATACAGTACCAGAGCTGTTGAAAGTGCACGAACAACCATACATTCAAACATAATGTTTGAATTTCACTTTCAAAATCTTTAATATTCTATACTGCAAGTATTTATTCTTATATATGCGAGAACAATGTCAAACAAAATAGTGATTGAAAGAACAACACATTTATTTGTCTACCCTGACGACCAACAGAATTTTAGTAGAAGTCCTCTACAGTGTAGTGCTATAATAGCTATAAATAAATGTAAAGTTGGCATATTTACAGTTTTGTCGAACCTCTGAGCCAAGTCGTAAGCAAAATGATTGCTAACTTTCTTTGTTAGCAAAGATTTTATTAATTACAGATCATAAATCTTGTCAAGATCTTGAGCAGATTTTTGCAGACAGATTCCTCAAAAAACGTTGACAAGATCTTGACAAGAATTGTTGAACATTCTTTGAGATCGAGAAACTGGACAGATCTTGTGCAGATATAAACTTTCTGCAGGACATGGGAAGTACTGTAAACATTATACAGTATATACCTTATTCATCATCCCACTGTTACGAATAAATAGCCCATGCAGGCCAGAAAAGGCATTCGAGGGCTGCGGAGAGTACTAGAAACTGGATCGTCGTCGAGGGTTCGAACTCTAGAAAGATGACTTTGAACCCTCGTAATAACCCATGTACTAAAAATCGGTAATTAATCGTGAAAAATCATACGATTAAGCATACGCTTAATCGCCATTAATTGCCGATTTTTTGGTGATTTTTAGGCGATTTTCGCGATTAATCGCAATTAATTGACGATCTTTTTGTAGGTACTAGGTTCGAACCCATCTTAGGAAATACATATTTTTTTCTGTTTTTTCATTCTTTATTACGTATAATGACATGTGCGTCACACAGCAATAGTCTTAGCACCAGCTGGCGTCGGAGTCTTGCCGACGAGTCAGCTTTAAACATTGTCCACATACCAGCTGTTCAGTGGGCTTCCCGGCTTAAAGTTCTGAGGAACAATAGAGAAGACTCTTGACAACTCCGTTGTATTCTAAAATAAAAAGATGATCTGAATATAAGTGTATTTTTCGCTGAAATCGTGTTTCTTATATACAAACTTTATTGCAAAAGAAAATGGTGAATAACAAAAAACATTTAATCACTTAAAATCAACAATTAATCTCAATTAATTGATGATTTTTGTGATTAATCGCGATGGTTGACAAAGTCATCGATTAGTCGGACTATTTTTCAATATCAATTTTTTCAACCATCACGATTAATCGACAAAAATCAAGCGGTTTTCAGCACATGGGAAGCGTCTTTATAAATTATCCCTCTCTGATTTTTTTTGCCAGTTTCAAGTACTCAAGTTGTACTCTGTGCTGAGCTATATTTTAGAAAAAGATACTTTCTGAGATAAATGTTATGTGCCAAATTAGGCGAAAGAAGCAAATCAACAAGTGGAGCACACAACATGCATATAGGATGACTTTTCTGTTAAACTCAATATAAGAAAAGCACAAATACTATTTTTATCGGATATTAGTTTAGTCAGCATGAACATACGTCCAAATTTTCCTTGTTGGGATATTTTTAAGACGTTGTGAAGCAAATAGAAATAACTAGCATCCAATTAATACATTTTGACAGACTTATACGAAAATGATTAAGAGCTTGTCAACAATCGTGTATGCATACAAGATTGTGGATAAGCTCTTAATCATTTTAATAAGCCATAATTAACTGATTCAGATTAATTTATAATACAGACGTTAATACACTTAAATTAAATTAATTTTGTTTAAATTGCATCAAACAAAGGTTACACACACAGTTTTGAATATCTCAAGCAGTTAACTTGCTATTCTAAGATAAAATAGAGATTTATAAGACACTATTTCTTAAGCCTTTCGTCTCTTCAACCAATTCAGATTAATTCTCAGCGTTGACATTTATGTAAAATACTTACTTTAAACGTGTTTACATGTTTTTTAAGCCTTGACGCTGCATGATTCTTGCGAAAACTAAAAAGTGTGAACGATGGAAATATCTGTGATAGTAATGAAATAAAAAATCTTTTTTCTCAATAACCTTTCGCTTTCTAGAAAATGTCTTTTCCACCATTGGAAGTACGATACGATGGTATATCTGCGTCTGTCTGCTTCCAGTATATTATATGAGTAAGAGAAGGACGAAAAACTGAAAAATGTTCTGATCAATAAAAGTACAATATCTCCATTAATAACGGGTACGTCAGAAGAAATGAGCCTATCAGTACTTTTCGAATAACTCTTTTATTTTGTACCACGTAGGCTTAAGTATTTTTACAAAAGATTCGCCGTTTCAGTCTCTAGAAAAACCATATGAAACATGTTTATTCATATTTCAAGTATCATCGAGAACATTCTTGGTCTCAAGAATTTGACCACTCTATTCCTTGCATTGAGGATGAAGATTTCTTCTGAATTAGGATTCTTGCTAAGTTTGCGTCGGCTGATAACCTACCATTAACTTTAGGTTTAGAGAGGTATTGTCAGACATCCGTCTCCATTGTTCGTATGTTCGCGGCGCTATTCGTGGATGAATAGATGTATACGACAGATGAAATACGATATCTCTATGTCAATTAAAAGGGTTCTTTTGTCTCAATAGGAGTTCTCTCCTTTTCCAGTCTATTTGACGCAATTTTATTCTACATTTTCATTATTATTTGTCAAATACTTAAGGTCCTGACTGGCAGTCCGCTGTCACGCCTTCTGGCCGATCGGACCATATTGCAATACATCTTGCCCGTTTCGGCAAGATGTATTGTCCGAACAAGCAATGCGGTCCGATCGGGCATGGAGTATCTTACTCGTTTTGGTAAGATTTCCACACGTTTTTCTATCAATGGATTGGCGCAATAAAGCAAAGCTATAGCCCATGTAGACACTTATTCCATGTGACAGAACGGCAAAACTGCATCAAATAGACTTTTCCTTCCGTGATTCGCTGCTTTCTTGTACAGTCTAAAAACTGACCAGCTATATCCGCTGCAGATTACCTTGCCTGACGGGCAAACTTGCCCGTTCGATCAGTATTTCCCGTTCAGTCAAAAACAAGAGAATGCCTGATCGGACAAGGTAGCTTACCCGAACGGGCAAAATCAATCTGGTCTGAACGAGGAACATTGCCAAATCGGGCAAGATAAATTGCGCACAATTGAGTTATGTTTAATATTGGTCTCTGCCATAAAAGAAACTGAAGATTGAACACTTAAATTTAATATAAACTTACGGTGAATAATCAGTGCACGAGCAGTAGAGTGAATACTTCCCACCCATTAGACGAGTGATGATTCTCGAGATCAGACCTTGTCAGAACAGGCAAGTTGTCTGTTTAGGCAATATTGCTCAATCGGGCAAGTGACAACGGACTGACTGTGAATATCATTCAAAAGTCCATTAACACTAGAACGCCCGGAAAGTAGTAATCCGATAACGCATGACGAATCACACAGAAGAGTGGAACTAGTACGACAACAAGAACCAGCAAGATAACAAGGTCAGCCAAGATGGACTACACCTTAGAATCGTGAATAATAACAGTTGATTCTGTGAGCCAAATCAAAGGACAGTTTTTGGGCGAAATAAACATCGCCATGCAGAAGAACAAGTGGCATATGAGTGTATTTTCCTGTATGATCAACAGGAAGAAAAAACGATGAGTGCAGATTCCAATAGAATCAATAACAAGAAATGAAGAGTGTACATTTCATCAAGTCAAGAAATTCTCATTCAGTTCATACAGTTTTTTGTTAACCTCTGAACAAGAATTCGAAACCGGTTGTTAGCTCTTCGATACTGGGATTGCTAGTAAACAGAAGAAATTAGTTCAGTCCCACGCCTCTGTGAATAAGCCGAGACCAGCGTCTAGTGGAATCTAGAGAAGCTAAACAAAATCTGAAGCGCGAAAGGAAATCACAAACCTTTGCTGAATGACTGTCAAAGTGAACTTTTGATAATAACGGTGTATATAATAAAAATGAAATGAATAAAAGTAATCAAAATGGAAAAAGCAGAAGAGAAAATGAGAAAATGTGTTTTGATCACCAGAAAATAACACTTTTGATTACCAAATCAATTTAAAAAAATTTAAATCAACGAAAATACAGCAATTAATTAACAATGATTGCCAATTAATGGGTAGACAGATAAGAAAAAGAATATAAAGAAAGTACATTCAAAAAGAAGATTCAGTCCCGTTTCGTCGACAAATTAATAAAAAGATAATTGAAATTCCCGACTCGTCGACACCTTTTTTTCCCGACTCGTCAACAAATTCATATATGCAATAAAATATAATTCGTAGTTATAAACATTTATTTCTAATCAAGAACAGAAATTAAGCAATTTCGACGCAATTATACGAAGACGCATGTTTAATACTAGAACGTTCGTAGCGGTCATTTTGACCATTTTGTGACTTTTATCGTTAATAAAACAAACTGCATACAATTTATTTAAAAATAAATTATGTCATAACTTTTAATTTGTCCCACAAAAATTATTTTTTGCAGAACTTTTAATTCATTTTTGAATTCAGAACCATTTTTAAGTATAAAATTTTTTAAAAAAAAACAGTAACGGTCAAAATGACCGCTTTGGGCGTTCTAGGTCATGAAAATTTTCGGGCGTTCTAGTGTTAAAACGGTGCAAGTCCGCGTTATTTATGTTTGGAACGACGGATTCATTAAACTATTATGTGATTCTGAACATATATTTATGGGTGGTACATTCAAATCTTGTCCATCACCATTTGCACAGGCAGGTTCGATTCACGCATTATCGCCGATTTTGAAAAATACAGTTTCAGCACTTTATACACTATTATCAGATAAAAACAAAATCACGTACGTATTCTTATTCCACGAAGTTAGAAATGTAACAGTTAGAAATAATCTTTTACTGAATCCAAAATTTATAACATTAGACTTCGAGCGTGGAGCAATCAATGCACTGAAACTTGTATTTTCCAATTCCATTATTAAAGGATGTAATTTTCGTTTTAATCAGTATTTATTCAATAAACTGCAGGAATTAGGTTTTCAGAAAGCGTTTTATGAGGCTCACGAGGGAACATTCCCAGGTGCCCCGCTCCGATTTCGTTCGTTCATGCATCATTCGATAAGGGGTCTCGAGTAGATAAAAAGCCTAAATGGATATCGGCTGACGACTCTTTAAGACCCGGTTTTCTGGAAAACCAGTTTTTCAGAAACTCTAACAGAATAACCAAAACCTTTGTTAATGAGACATGATTGTAGCCCGTGAAAGTCTCATAAAAATGAGACATCTCCCAGCTCTATATGACCTTTTCTTGCAAAGTTATAGAATTTACAAGAAAAGCCCTAAATTAATTTCTTCTGATTTCTGCAGCTTTGAGTTGACACTGAACATTCAGGGCTTTTCTTGTAAATTCTATAACTTTGCAAAAAAAGGTCATATAGAGCTGGGAGATGTCTCATTTTTATGAGAACATAAGGCCACGAAACTTGAAAATTTCAAAATGAAGCAGTCGGATCGTTTTTCTAATGGTGAACAACGACTAAGGCTCTAATCATTAATTACCAGCAGAGGGATTTTACTACAGCTTCAATTGTAAACTTTGTACTTTGGTTACACTTATCGTTACAGAGCGTATTTCTTTCACGCACAACCTCTAGCTTTTCAAATAGTGGTGATATGTTGTATACACGTAACAATTTATTTGAATATTTTGTTCACTCGCCCATATCGGAACAGACGAGAAGTGATACTCATTTTCCTGCGCAATAACTAAAAACTAATGGATATTTCTAACTAATAATTAATGTTACTTCTCATTAATAATTATTAATTAAGTGAGAATTAGCGAATATTTCTAAGAACACATCACCGAAATAATATGTGTAAGTGTACGCATCAAAATATTCACCAAATTTGAACACATACCCAGATACGTTTTTTTTATTTTGCAATAACCTTGAAATAAACAGCGTTGCTTTTGTCGGTATTTACACTTACACATATCATTTCGGTGATGTGTTCTTAGAAATATTCACTAATTTTCACTTAATTAATAATTATTAACGAGAAGTAACATTAATTATTAGTCAGTTCCATTAGTTCCATCCATTAGTTTTTAGTTACTGCGGAGGAAAGTGAGTATCACTTCTCGTCTGTTCCGATAAGGGCGAGTGAACAAAATATTCAAATAAATTGATACTCTAGACGTCCCAACAAAAGTAAAAAAGCATAGACACAAGCTCAAGGTTCACTGTTGCTGTCGAATGAGCCAGCGAATTCCATCGCCATAGGCTCCTCCTCAGCAATGTTACACATGCACAATTTCACTTTTCGGCCTGACTCCTCGCATAAATACCTTCAATTTCGAGTAACTGCACAATTTCCGCATAACTGGATGCATGGGGACAATTAATTTTATTTCCCAGTATCGACATGGGTACTTGACTCATACCATCGTCATGTAACAGATTCAACAACTTGGACTTCGTTGAATCGTTTACGATCGCTCACGTCAACGACGAATATTATTGAACTAGAACTAAAGTAATAGTCTCTCCATAGACGCCGCGCCAATATATGCCCATCTAGATCAGTGAGTCCAGTGATGACTTTACTGACTTGTACTTGATAATGAACGGGTTGAGACGTGGGCGGAGCTTGTATGAGACGGTTATTTGTTAACCGACCGGTAAATGTTGTCTAAAATAAACAATATAAACCATTCATTACAGCAAAGTAACTTTCAAAATTTCTTACTTTTCCGGCATGTTTTAAACCAATTAATAAAGGTGTTCATGGTTTACTAAAAAACCAGTATGTTAATAAATCTTGTAATGATCCAGCTAATCAGTTCCAAAGAAAAGACACGATGGTCTTTTGGTATAAACTATTTATTAAATCAAGTATTTCAACATATCTGCACTGAATCGGAGAAACCATGATAGAGACACAGATAAGATTTTCATGTAATAAAAAAGAAAATCCATCAAAGTCAGCAATAAAAAAACGAAACAAACAAAAGACTAAAAGAATAAAAAGATAAATGTTAAAATATTGGTGGCAGATGTTTCAAAAATGCCCCTATGATTTTATGTTGACACGTTTAGATTCGATGATATAGTTACGTATCGATATACAAATTCGAAATGTTCTCTACATAGTATCTCGTTGAGTAGAAGTAGATCGAACGTAATAGAAACAGGTAAATTCACTGTAGTAATAGTTTCAAATAGTGTTAGACGAGCGGTATTATAGACAGGACAAAGTAATAAGTAGTGATGTACAGTTTCCTTTGCACCGCATGCATATTTATCTGTCTTTTTTGGATCATCGCCAGATAAATAATCTAATAAAAGACGATGATACAAGTCATAATCTAACGTAGTAAGTCTAGTTCACATTTGTGCGAAAACAATGTCAGCTGTTCTTAGTGTATTACGTATCCGAAATGTCGGAACAACAGACTGGAATTTCCATTTTGAAAAATTTCTTTTAAACATCTAAGATGTTGAGATTTGGTTAGTTCATGAGGTAGGGTATTCTAAATCCGTACGATTGATGGAAAAAGGTTTTCATAAAATTTGCTGAACGTATAGATGAGTTACTTAAAGTAATTTTAACATTATTAGACCGCAGATCATATTGAGGATTATTAAAGAAATGGATTTTCTTGGACAGGAATATTGGCGCATGACCATGTATAATTTTCTGCAGTAATACTATTTTATGACATTCAAAAATATCAATAATACTTCTCCATCCAAGGACAGCAAGCATTTTAGTTCGATCACAGCCACAGAATCTAGTCAGCTATAATGTTACCTCACTTTTTACGCTACCGTAGTGGAATACCAAGTGTATATGCGGAGCATCAGCTTTAATATCACCACATTTTTGGGGAGCACCTACTAAAGGAATATCCAAGTTTTTTTCATTGATTCTATTTGTAATGACGACTTGAATTCTGGTAGACCTATCGGTTCTTGGTGTCACTATTTTGGATACTATTATCAAAAAAGTAACAGAATATCCCGAGTCCAATTTTGGCGTCAACGAAGTCTTGGAGAGTCCGATGATCGAGAAGGCATGTAAAAACGCCATTTCTCTGCAACTATCAAGGAGAAGAAAAGCCATTTGTACTCTAACGATTTATCTTCGTCACAGCCCGGCGAAGAAGAATTCAGTAGCGGATTGCAATCCCGATGTTATCTTTGATATTACATCAGTCCTCACCTCTTCTTGACAGGCTCTTCAACCGCAAATTTCTTGTCATTTTTTGGGCAGGGCTTTGAGTATGCGCACAAATTTTCTCCACATGAAATAAATTTTTTTTAATTATATACAAAAAAAATTAGAAAATTTAACTCCGCAACAATAGTCGATGATATTTGTGATTATTGTTTCGAGAGAAAATATTTTTTATCTGTTAAAACGGTGAAGAAACAACGGTTAATTCATATCAGTTGTCTGATACGCGACGCTAAAAAGGCAGGTAGCAAAAGCATTATATCACAGCTGGAAATGACAAATAATTTCGACTATCGAATCGACTGTGTAGAAGAGTTGCTATTAAATGGAAAAGTTCTTTTTTCGAACTATATTCATCGAGAGAAAAAGTCATATTTACACGGTTTACCGATGTAGTATGTTTTCAACCGCATGAAAAAACAGTTTACATCACATTCAGTAGGTCATTTATTGAACTTGCACTTGATAAATTTGAAGAGCTCGGCATAATTGATTACGGGCTTATTGTTTCTGGCGCAAGAGTATTTTTTGAAAATCGGTCAGTCTCTCGACATATGTAGTGTTGCCGAAAGTATCAAATGAAAAATATCGGAATGTCGAACGAAAGCTATTCTCTCTAAATATTTGACAGTTCTGATATAATTCACAGCGGAAACACTGTCACTTTGTTCTGCTGCGCCAGACATCGATGATATCCTTGGCCCTGTGTATGATACACGAGGAGTTAAGCACAAATACGATGAGATATCTGACGAAAACGAATAGGAAGGACCGAATATCGAAAGGGAAAGAAAGAAAGCACAAAAATAAAAAAAAACAGATGAACTAAAACGGAAGTTTTTCCACATAACTGACGATGGATTATCTGCAATGTAGAATTTCTTTTAAACTCTTAAGCGTGTTTTTTCCTTGAATGAAATAGAGCACGTGAGAAAGCAAGCAAATGAAAAAGTTCCTCTTCGATAAAAATAGTGCCTGCGTGAAATCTGAGTTCGCTGAACGAATAGCTCTGTTTACGTGGCAGCAAAATTAATAGCGAAGTGTGAAATTTAAACCAGGTTACATCTGAACATGGATGGAACATTGCTTAGTAACAAACATATCGTGAGTATAGCAGTTAATTTTATAGAAGAAGGACATCCCTTTGGGAATTTTCGAGGTGCGATCAGAGTTGTGGAAAATTCTTCCAAAAGAATTTCTTGATAGTATAAAAGCTGTCAAAACAATTAGAATGAAACGAAAAAACATAGCCGTGCATGTGAAACTAGGCGGAGATTTCATGAATGGCGGCTACGTCTTTGGACTCGCCGGTATACATTCTAATTTTCCGTGCGTGTTTTGTACCCAGCATAAAGATTTTATGCACGTAGGTGAAGTGACGTTGTGACTAAAATACCTTGTGAGGAAGCGAGTAGTATGTCGAAACAGCAAAAAATAAGAAAAAGAAAAAGCGAATAGTTTTGATTGATCCCACTTCTTGTTTCTGCTATTTTTGTTTACTAGGAAGTTCTTTCATTTTAATTCACTATTGTTAGAACTCTTCAGTATTAACACGTGGCATAACAACCAGTTAACTCTCTCAGTTAACTATCCATATGTATATGAGGAAATGAATTAGAATCCTTATTTGTGGCGAAAAGAAGACAACGCTTGTGTATGATCCCAGGCTAAAAGTCAAGGGAAAAACTAAAGAAAAACCCAAGCGAATTTATTAATCTTTTGGCACAAGGCACAAGAAGCTTCCAAAAAAAAATCGATTTACAAAGAGTTTTAGTTTTGCGTATGCAAATTGTGTAGAGCATGTTTTAGAGTAGACATGCACCGAGACGAGAAGTCTCGAGTCTCGATATGGCTGAAATTTTTTTTGTAGCTACTCCTATCACTTGTATAGATCTTCTCATTAGCTTGAGAAAGTCGAGCACTCTGTTTTGTGTGGCAAAAATTCTTCTGATTTTAATAAGATGAGTGAAGGAAGACTGACTTTCCTTCAGTTGCTGTGTGTATTATTTTACATATAGCCGTGAACTGGACTAAAGCTGAATGCGCTGAAGATAGCTCTGTAAGACCTAACTTTTATAGCTGTCTTAAAGATATTCTTTTCTCTACGAAATCGACATTTCAGTAAATCGAGTGCATTTTCTATACAATACAAAAGAGAAAAAGTACAAATGATCACCAAACTCTTTTAGATACAAATGATCACCAAACAGTGAGGGTTGTCCCTGTCTTTTTTTTAAGTCATCATTGTCTATGTTTTTTAAGTGGGAAATTTCCCTGTCATTTTGAGTGGGAATTTTCCCTGACTTTTTAAGTGGACATTGTCCACGTCCTTTTAAGTGGGAATTTTCCCTGTCTCTTTCCATGTATATTTCCACGACTAACTATACTATATATATAGCAATTGATTTCTTGTAATAAATCGTCAACATGTCGACATCTAACTGGATAGTGTTAAGTATAGTAAATTCACTGGATGATGTTATAGCTGTTGCTAAATCACATGGTGTTTGTCAGTATCGAACAAATGATCTTAAGGATCATACAAAATATTCATTTAAATGTGGTCAATATCGTAAATATCCATTATGTCGTTATGAACTCAAGGCAACTGTACCAGATGATGATCCAAAGTCGATTACGGTAATGTTCAAAGATGCTCACAACCATGGCGATCGAAACCAAACGTCTCGTGCACCATCTCCAGTACGGCAATCTGTTTCAAAATATGTTGGTATTGGTTTAACTGAAGCTCAAATTCGTTCGTCAGTTTCAATTGATCATCCATCCACACCAGTATTGATTGTATATTGTACTCTGTTCATAAATAAAAATTTGGAAAATTTGGTGATCAAAAGTATCTTTTTTTGGTGGTCATTCGTATCTAAAAGCTTTTGGTGATCAAAAGTATCTTTTTTTGGTGATCAAAATAATTGATACCCATATAAAATCTGTGTTTTTATTTACTGTAAAATGCTCAACAATTCTATACTAGTCCGAATAATTACGACGATAGTGATATGCTATTTTATTTCACTTTAACTAAAGTATTGTGAGGAAATTAAAATAACTAACGCTTAGTTAGCTAGCTTTATATGCTGCATGAAGTTTTCACTTTTAGTGATTAAAAGTATCAAAAAAGTTACCATACAAAATATCTACTGCAAAAAATGTCTTTCGACATTACGTCCATTACATATTCACCAGCGAATCTTCTATACAAAACAAAAAAAATAGTCTCGAGACGTCTCGAGGCTCGAAAAGTCTCGGAAAGTTTCGATACGGGCACTTTTATATCGAGACTTTCGAGATTAGATACTATTCGAGACCGAGACTCGAGACTGCTCGAGACTAAAGTTTCGGGTATCGACTACCCTGTCTCGATGCATCCCTATTTTAGAGTATCAAAGTATAAGTTTTAGAGCCTACTATTCGAAATCTATAGCTCAAAATGCGAGGCTACAACTGTCTGGTCAGCTAAAACAATAATCTTATCATTATCTCCAAATATTATTTGTTTTTGTTTATTTGGATTTATAACGATGCCATAGAGTTTTGTTTGATCATGTACATATTTCATTAGTCTGTAACCAATAGCCACACATTGAAATTTTAATGTTGATTGTAAAACTTCGTAATAGCTCACTGGTGTATTTAGTGGAACAAATATGGAGGCTTCACATAAAAGAATTTCAGGACCATTAGGTGTCAATAAAACATCGTATGCTTTTTTTATGTTTTTATTTTCAGATAATTGTGTAATATATTTTGATACCAAATTTGGACTAATTATATAGTCATCTGCGCTTGCCATATTAGCCAGTTTACTATTACGTACGCTGTACATTTCTGTTATAATATTAAATATTTTACCCCAGTTTGATTTATCAATTATATCTCGTATATATAATAAACAAATTATACATTCAGTATCTGCTTCTTCGATTAAATTTTTTTCTCGACCGTCTTCACTGGGTACTAGCATAACATAATTATAGGTTGATAAATTTAGCTTTTCCAAATCTTGCCGACGTGTCATATGACCTGAATGAAAATATAATTTTTGGTGTTCTAACTCATTGACTAAGTGGTTAGATACGAATTTCTGGGCTTCAACAGAATTTGTTAATATATGAAGTTCACTACCATGAGAAACATAATTCTCCAATTCTTTAGCTATTAAAGGGATTTTATTGTTCCAGCCACATATAATGTTTCGTTCTACTTTTGTTGCCGTAGTTTTTGATAATTGAATTGCACTAAGAGTTATTACTAACTGTGATATTGGAGAAGAATATTTAGCTATGCGTGCTAAATAATTTGATGATAATGAAATTTTATCATCATCTTCTGCTATAACTATTATTTGATCATCCATATTGATTACTGTATCCAATGGAGGAAGCATTTTAACTGTTCCATCGGATAGCATCAGTCCAATTACCGAACATTTCTCGTATGCAAATAGAGCATCATGAAATGTTCTACCAATAAGTGCTCTCTCATATTTAAAATAAATTTCATCGTCTCGAAATGATAATAGACTTGATAATATAACAGCCAAACCACTTTGTCGACCTGATTGAGCCATAATACGTGCAATGATTTCATCGGAATGGACAAACATAACTTCGTCTCCACCTAAAAAATACAGTATTTTTTACTACGAAGGAAACATTGCTAAGAACAAAACTAGATGCCTCTGCTTTCAATGGTCAGAAAAGTCGGCAAGAGAGCTATCCCAGTAGTGTACAAACCCTCACTTGTCACTGAAACAGAAAACGTTTCTTATTTAGAAGCGCCATGGGTGGCCAAGTTTTGAATTAGGGAATTTCTAATTTGTCTTGAACTAAGCACGCAACAGTTACAGTTAAGTGCAAAACTGTCACAACTGTAGTAATCCAGAATGTTTGACCAATACATTGTAAAACGAAATCGAAATGCTAAAAGCTTTTATCGCCAGTTTTGATGTTTTTAAGGACAATGATTTTTGACAAAATTGTACAATAATTGCAGCTGATTTAAATGATTTAAGCAGTTTTCTTGTAGTATTTCGAACTTAAATTTTCTTTTCCTTCTACATACGACGTCAGATCTAAAAAAGAATGTTCTTCTTTCTCTTTCTCATGGATATAAAGAAGGAAAAGTATCCAGTTGTTTAATATTTCACCGTTTAAGGTCGAAATATTACAAGAAAACTGTTTCAATCATTTGCATCAGCTGCAATTATCGTACAATACTTTCGCCAGTTGTATACTTCTTCTCTCGCGTGGGACAGTTATGCAGTTATAGCTTTAGATATTTTTTCAGTTTAACAACTAATTAACTGCTACATACTTGCCTATCATGAACCTTTTCTTACTACTTAAATAGGACCTACGAAATCACTTATCTACAGATCTCAAATTCTGTTTTGACAATTCGTCTCTAATACTTTTCGAATATTTACGGAAAAAAATCAGCATGATTCGTGTAACCAGTCTCGAAAATATTTTGCCTCGAGCAATGTTAAATTTATTCGCTTTCGCATCCACAGACAAAACGAGGTGCACACCGTTGCACTTTTTGTTCTCTTTGTTTAGCTTTTTATGAAAATTTTTAACGACGGTTTTGATCCCGCAAAAATTGCAGAATGCATCGAATTTCGATAAAACTAACAGAAGTGATTCTGAGTTTAGAAGAAAAAAAATTTCCAACAGAACGGATCACGGAAAACTTTATTCTTTCTGTCTACAACAGAACTGACCACGATTGATGTGCGTAGATGCCTTTCCCCAAAGCCCCTCGTTGGTTTTTATACAGCCTCATGTTTTATTACAAATAAATGCAGTCTCTGATACTTCAATCTTTGTTTAGTCTTTCGATAAAGCTAATTTAATTTACTTCGATCGTCCTCATCTCGTTCGAATAACTCACAATACTATTAAGCCAATGGCACGAACACAAAAAACATGTGAGCGCTACATATTTATATTGTTTATATTTTAACGTCATGCAGGCTTCTCTACACCCTCACATCAACCGAGATCAATTCTGCACAATAAATCTAAAAATTAATTTATTCCGGATGAATTCTGTTTGTGGTCTGCTCTTTTCCAATTTTTAGGGTGATCGTGACATAAATAAGCAAGCAAGAATGACACAGAAATGTGTGAAGAGCCGTAAACCTGCAATCAATGCCACATCTAAATTAATTCGTTCGGTTATTTCAGCAACAATATGAAAATTAATTTTAGTTCTTTGTGGATTATTTCTTATTGCTAATATTGTTTTTATTACTCGAACGTCAGGATTATCCGTTTGAGGTGCCAATATAATAATGGATCGTGCTTGGTTAGGACTTAATTTATTTATATCATTGATCTAAAATTTAATGCAATAGAAAACGTTTAACGAATGAACGTAGAATATTTTGCGTTAGGATTAGGGTATTTACTGAATGCTCCATTACTGTATCGAACTCTCTTCTCGACGGACCCAAGTAGAGCCCGACGAGTTCTCATACATGTAGAAGTCAAAAGTCTAATTAGACTTTTAAAAGATCCAAAAAGTCTAAAAGTAGTTTCAATTTCATAGCTTATGTTAGACTGTCAAATTTATTAGACTTTTAAATTTGCACATTTATCAGGCTTATAGTGATGACTACCGTGGAAGTCACTAGTAGAATTCGACGGATAAATGGCCATGGTCTTTCTTTTTCGAAATAGATAATAACTAACTAGTAAAAATCTACAAACTAGATGAAAATATTGAACTGGTGTTTGCTGCTGGCTGATGTCAGTTATCCTACGCGAACTACATTTCGGTTTGAACGATTCGAATTCTGTTTTTAAATTGGTACTACGTATTTTCGAATTTCGGCTTTTACTGTTACACTAGGATAAAGGTTTTGGGCTATGTTTGATCCAAAGTTTCTGTTCATCTTCGATTTCCCACTGAATTATGAATCGGAAGTGGATAAGTGTGTGTGGGAGGGCGAGTGTAACGTGAGAGTGAGTTACGAGAGAATATTGCACTAGCATTTGTTGTTGGCTGATGTGCATGTCAATTGTCAATTTTAGCTGATAATACGATTGCGGATAATTTAAGAACATAAATAAGCAAGGACTTTAGGTTTTCGCCAGGAAAAGAACTGACGTGGATGCACGTTTTATAGGGCACATCAGCTTAAAAGTGTTTTTTTGAGCTTTCTAAATGGTGCTTGGAAAAACAAGGCCACGCCTCAAAACGATTCTGAAGCTAAGATGAAGAAATGTTCTGAATATTTTCCTTGAGGTTCATAGCAAGTAGTTTTACCATTTTCTCAGACTAACTGACCTGTGTATAAGTATAAATAATATTTTACTTTTTTCTCTCATTTTCTTTTATACTCATTTCGTAAAAATGAGCCAGCAAATTTATCTGCATTAGAAAATGATATTTATATAGTGTTCTCCTCTGTTGAGATTCATAGCTATATTTCACTTTTATCAAAAAATATACCCGTCCGCGTAGATTAACATTCTTTTTCCGATAGATATTTTCTTATATAAAGGCATGATTTATCTTTATTTCTTCACCATTTTCAGAGAGCTTCACTTCGAGACTTTGGAAGATAATTCCAAAGCGGTCCGTGTTTTCTCTTCACTACTTTTTCCTATACAGTATTTCTATAAAAATAAATATTAATATAAATATTATATATATAATATTAATAAATATTACTAGCTGAGTAGTGTAGAAGCCAAAAGTTCAATTCAACTATTCCAGCTATTCAATTATTCAAGTCTTAATGAAATTCTACATTCACTCGCACCACCCCTGGCAATAGCTTCATGTTGACACACCTGGGCGTGTCAATAGCCATTCCGTTCTTTATATTAGTCCAAAACGTTCTCCTGCCAATGAGAGTCACGAGAAAAAACTGATTTTCTACGCTGTTTCCAACTGACATTGAAAGGTCTAGAGACCACTGAAAATACATTCTTGTGAGGCCATGCGCTATAGGAGAATGTTCGAGACTCACATAGTTCTCTTCACTGAGTATGACCATAAGAACAAAACTACAGGAACGCTATACTGTAAATGAAAAGATTTCATAAAAATACTCTTTTGCTGTTGGTGCTCTCCGGTAAATGGGTAACTCGCACTAATGGATAACTGACATCAGCCAGCAGCAAACACCAGTTCAATATTTTCATCTAGTTTGTAGATTTTCACTAATTAGTTATTATCCATTTCAAAAAAGAAAGACCATGGCCATTTGTTTAATAACTTGTTCTAGGATGTAGCTACGGAGCTGCGGTTTTCACTAGTCGAAAGAAAAATGTTGGGGCAATAAGGAAAACTAAAAATTATTGTCCCAAAATCACCTGCAGGCGGTGCACCCTGCGAAGATATTTTGCGAAAGATGTCACACCACTGAAAAAGTTTCGGATTTTAACTTTTGAGACGACAGGCAGGTAGCTCGGCCCGAGATATTCGTTTCTAGAGCAGCTCCAGGCCGTTAGCTTACAAGGTTCTTCGGAGACCACGCTAACTCGGTCCGGACACGTCGGAAGATCTCGGAAAGACTTGAAACATAGGTTACCGAATGTGCTGACCGACGTGGCAATGTTTGTGTTTGACTAGAAGTTGATCCAAGGTCACCAGGGTATTTTTAATGAAAAAACGAATTTTTGCATGAAGCCTGTCAAAACTAGAGTTGCCGTATATCAGCTATTTTAAGTCAGAAACACACCAAATTTTTAGGAAACACTTACGAGAGAACCTCTTGAGGTTATAAATCGCTTTTGAACTCGGACTATTTGTATTTTTTTAATTTTTGAATAAGTACTTTTTTAATAAGTACTTTAATTAAGCATTCAGAATGCTTAATTAATTTTGAACATAGTGTTATTTTTGATAAAGAAAAACATTGGCAGAGGAGAAAAAAGTTAGAAACAGTATACACAATAGCTAACAAGGGATATAATAGATGTAAGAGCATAAGTCCACAATGGAAATCAACCATTAAGCGATGGATAGAATCGAGAAGTGGGAAAGAATTTTACATAACTAACACTGAAGTAAAAGAACCGATTATAAATAAGGCTAAAGTAGAGAAACCAATAGAGATGAGAACAAAAAACTCGAGATATGGTTTAAGAAAACAGCCGAGAATAA